GACTGAGCCACCCAGGTGCCCCTGAAATCATGTTTTTTGTGTCTTTCTGACTTATTTCACTTAGCATAATGTCCTCTAGGTCCATCTGTGATGTTGCAAATGGCAAGATCTCATTCGTCCTTATGGCTAAGTAATATTCTATTGTATAAATATACCACATCTTTATCCATTCATCTAGCAATGGAAGCTCGAGTTGTTCCATAGTTTGGCTATTGCAAATACTGCAGTAATGAGCACAGGGGTGCATACATCTTTTCAAATTAATGTTTTCGTTGTCTTCAGATAAATACCCAGAAATGGAATTACTGGGTCGTATGACCTTTCTATTTTGAATTTTTTTGAGGAACTGCCATACTGTTCTCTATAGTGGCTGCACCAATTTATATTCCTACCAACAGTTCCTTTTTCTCCACATCTTCACCAACTTCTATTTCTTGTTTTTTTGATACTAGACATTCTGACTGGTGTGAGGTGACCTCTCATTGTGGTTTTGATTTGCATTTCCCTGATAAGTGATGCTGAGCATCTTTTCATGTGTCTGTTGGCCATTGTAGGTCTTCTTCGGAGAAAGGCCCATTCAGGTTCTTTGCCCATTTTTAATCAGATTATGTGGTGGGTAGTGGGGCTTGGTGTCCTCTTAAAGAAAAAAAGGGGGGGCAAATAAAAAATCCTAACTCCGTTTCCTAAGTACAGGTTGCCTCTTGGTCAGTATTTACTTTTTCTATTCTTTAAATCCACGAGTTACCTTGCTGTTTAATCCAGAAGCGCCAGTGTATTTTATTGAGTTCAGGCATGGGGCATTCTGAAACGGTCTAATTCCCTTCTCCCTCCCCCTTGCAGGATGGCTTTTGTCTCTTCTTCACACCCATGCTGCCGTCTTGGAAAAGAATGCTGGTCCAGGCTCTTCTGTCATGCTTTACAGCAGTGATCTTAATCTACTTCTGGAAAAGGTTATTGTGAGTTCTGAAATTTTTAACGCATTTCTACCTGCCTAACTGTGACCAGCCAACTGAATTTGAGATGTGAAAGAATAGAACAGAGTAAACCACCTTCTGAGACATTTTTACCTGCCCTCATCTAAGGAGTCCTGTGGTGATGGTTCAGCCAGAGTTTTAACTCCTGGCAAGTACTCAGTATTAGGACAAAGGCACAAATGGTTCTTCTTTGAGTGGGGGGAAAATGGATTCTAAAGGTTCATTTCTCTAAAGAATTGCAGTAGAAGCTACATTCTAGTAAGTAGGAAACCTGGTGCTTTTTGCTACCTTCGGATAAGAGTGAATATGCATCTATCGTCTATCCAGTTTCATGTGCTACTGCAGACTCATTTCTCAAGGCAGTCAGTCAGGGGTGGGATGCCAAAAGCCCTCCAAGGCCCAGTTTGACAAGGAATGTAATATTAAAAACTTTTATAAGGAATTCTTTCTAAATCCTTTGAAAGTGAATTCCTAATTCTACCTTTCTAGATTTTATAAAGAATTTATATTTTTTACTTCAATAAATTGTTAAATATCTTCAAATTTTTAATAAACTTATGTATCTTTTTTCAAAAATTGTTGGTTTTCCTTGGGATTTAATAAGACTTCATTCGTAGGAGTAACTTGAAGAAAATTTCCTTTATTTCTTTAAATACAATTCTTTATTTTAAACATTTAATCAATACACAAGCTCATAAAAAGTCCTTCACTTCCACCTCCCGTTTTGCAGTCAACCCATCACCTGCCAGGTGATAGAAAGGAAAACTTCAACTCTAAGCTCTTAGGCTCTCCACCTGATGCCTGTGAATTTAGCAGACAGATTAACAGGTGAAAAACATGGATCTTGATGTTTTTACAGGAGACTATAGAAGAGTGAAAACTTTGAAGAAATGTGTAGATTCAGGGTTTATATACTACTTTAACAACAAGTGATACATCCTGGAGTAGACAAAGGGGTTAGACTGGTAGGGGTAGTATATTCTGGGGAAAGGGACTAGGAAATAGATGGGGGAAACTAATGGAAGATGAGGGTTATTTTAATCCAGTTTGTACAGTCTTTTTGGTGTTGATTTCCATCTCCAGTGATGAGTGTTCTCTCCTTCCTGGTATAAGAGGGCACCTTTCTCGAGGCACCTGGCTGGCTCAGTTGGTGGAACGTGTGACTCTTAATTTCGGGGTTATGAGTTTGAGCCCCATGCTAGGGATAGAGATTACTTTTAAAAATTCTTTAAAAAGGGGGGGATGCTTATAACAACAATATCCATAATAGCCAAAATATGGAAAGAGCCCAGATGTCCATTGACAAATGAATGGATAAAGAAGATGATATACACAATGGAATACTACTCAGCCATCAGAAAGCATGAAATCTTGCCATTTGCAACAACGTGGATGGAACTAGAGGGTATTATACTAAGTGAAATAAGTCAGGGAAAGACAAATACAGTTGACTTCACTTATATGTGGAATTCAAGAAACAAAGCAGATGAACCTAGGGGAAGGAAAAATAAAATGAAGTTTGAAAGGGAGGCAAATCATAAGAGACTCTTAACTATAGGAAACTGAGGGTCGCTGGAGGGGAGGTGGGTGGGGACATTAAAGAGGACACTTGATGTAATGAGCCCTGGGTGTTATATGCAACTGATGAATCAGCTAAATTCTACCTCTGAAACTAATAAAAAAAAAAAAAGGGGGGGGCGGTTTGCCTGGGTGGCTCAGTCAGTTAAGCACCCGACTCTTGGTTTTGGCTCAGGTTGTGATCTCAGGCTGGTGAGATCAAGCCCTGTGTTGGGCTCTGCACTGGGTGTGGAGCCTGCTTAAGATTCTCTCTCTCCCTTTCCTTCTGCCCCTCCCCAACCCATGTGTGCTTGCACATGCTCGCTCTTTAAAAAAAAAAAAAAACTAGGAAAAATAGGAAATTTATGCTTTGCTCTTAGGCAGAAAAGTAGAGGGCAGAGAGCCCTTCCTGTGTGTGCTCTTTCTCAGTTGCCTTAAGCTCAGAATAATACGCCACAGTTTCATATTTTGGAGTGACGTTCTAATCCACTTCAGTGGTGAACGGTGCATGCCATTATTCTGCAGCCAGCTGGAATCCACATCCATCTGTCCTTTCTGAGCCCACCCAGACCCTCCAGGCTTGCCATGTCCAAGCCCTGGTGCTCTGGAGCGGGTGCTCCGCAGGGCTGCCAACAGCCACTGGAAAGGCACCATGAGGACCCCAACATGCCAGCCCAAATCTGCTCGGCAGTCTCTCCATGGGCCAGCTCTTGCTGATGCTATTAGAACAAACCTGGGACCAAAAGGATAAAAATAAGTGAAGCTGGGAAAGGATGTGGCCATTACAAACCATGGTGCCACTATTTTGAAACAAATGCAAGTGTTCCATCCAGCAGCCAGAATGCAGGTGGAGCTGTCCAAGACCCGAGATGAAGAAGCAGGAGGTGGTACCACATTGATGATCATCGTTGCTGGTTCTCTTAGATTCCTGTCTGAAGCTTTTTCAGAGAGATTCATCCAACCATCATTTCCATGTCCTTCCAGAAGGATTTGGAAAAGGGTATTGAAATCTTAACTCCTCTAGACCCGTGGAACTGAGTGACCAAGAAACTGTTTGATAATGGAACCGCTTCATTGAACTCAAAGTTTTCTTCGTGTTCAAGTCTGCTTTCTCCAGCAAATGGAAATGCAGTGAGGGAAGTGATTGACTGGGCCACAGCTGCTGGTGTAGATCTTCGAGATACCAAAGTAGTTAAGAAACCTCAGGGGCATTATGCCAAGTGAAGCAAGTCAGATGGAAAACAAATACTGATGATCTCTCTCCCAGGTGGAATCTAGAAAGAGTAAATAAAATTTAAAAATTTTAAAAAACCAACCTCACTGATGCCAGATTGTTAGTTGCCAGGGTCAGGGAATGGGTGAACTTTGTTTTGTTTTGTTCTAGTTTATTTTTACTTTATTTTTTTTTTAGAGCCGAAAGGTCTCACATTTATTACTGAACCAACCTACTGGTGCAGAGGCATAGTCACAGAAAAATCATTTCCATGATAAGACAAGTCTGTGGCCAAGTAGGAAGGATGTTTACAGAATGATAGAACACATGATCTTCACGCAGCTTAATTAAATATGTGTGCCAATTAAGTGTGTCATCTCATTATGTGTGACGCCTTATAGACCCAGCTTGCTTCTTCTCCAGCGCCTCCTCTTGGAGTTGTACCTGATTTTATTACTGGATTTCATCCGAATCCACTGGGGAATGGGACGATTCTGCTTTTGTTTCTTGGCACGGAATCACTTGATTCTGAAAGTCTTGTGAGAAGACATGGCGAGAAGCAGCCAGCCACGCAGAGCAGGATGGCGGTGAAAAAGAAAAAGCTTATTTTTACTTTTTTTTTCTTTTTTAAAGATTTATTTGGGAGAGAGGGGGTGGGAGGGGGCAGAGGGAGAATCTCAAGCAGATTCCCCACTGAGCAGACTGCCTGCTGAGCGTGGAGCCCAACTGGGGGCTCGATCTCATCCTGAAGTCATGAGCTGAGCCGAAACCAACAGAGTCACCTAGGCACCCCAAGTTTATGTATTTAATCTCTAGCCACAACGTGGGGCTCAAACTCATGACCCCGAGATCAAGAGTCTCCTGCTCTGAGTCAGCCAGCCTCCCCTGTTTTGTTCTAGTTTAAATAAATGTTTATATGTATGTGTAATTATGTATGTATAGTTTATATATAAACTATATATAGCTTATATATATAACAAAACTGGGTGGGACAAATGATGACTACAAGGTGGTAGAAGGGCTGGTTCTCACCCATAAGATGACTTAACCAGAGTTGAAAAGGCTAAGATTGGGCTTACCAGGTTTTCCTTATCTGCTTCCAGAATAGATACAGATAATCACATAGTAGTTTCCGATGCCCAGATGGGCCCAGTGCTAAGGAAGAAGCCTATATTCTAAATTTAGTGAGGCAAATTTTTTAAACTGGATATAATGTTCTCATACAGAAGTCTATTCTTAAGAGCTGCTCTTAGAGATCTTGCATTAAAATTTCCTGAACAAAATGAAGATTATGGTGGCTAGGGATATTGGAAGAGAAGACACTGAAGTCCTCTGTAAGACAACTGGAACCAAGCCAGTTGCTCATGTTGACCAATTCACTGGTGACATGCTGGATTTGGCTGAGCTAGCTGAGGGGGTCAATTTAAGTGGTTCCGGCAAACTGCTCAAGAGGACTGGAAAAAGTTACAGTTGTGCATAGTTCTAATAAATTGGTGATTGAAGAAGCAGAGTGCTCCATTCATGACGCCCTGTGTGTTACGTGTTGTTGAGTGAAGCAAGAGCTCTTCTTGTGGGAGGTGGTGCTCCAGAAATAAAGTTGGCCCTATGGTTAACTGAATATTCATGAACATTGAGTGGTCTGGAATTCCACTGTGTTCTAATGCAGATGTAATGGAAGTCCTGTGCACACTAGCTGAAACTGCTGGCCTGAGTCCCATTTCTGCAGTAACAGAACCAAGAAACTAACATGCCCAAGGAGAAAAACTATAGGCATTAATGTCCGAATTAATAATATAATTTCCACTTATTTTGGAAGAACAGGTTGTCCAGCCTTTGTTGATTTCAGTCAGTGCACTTATTCTAGCAACCGAAACTGTCTAGAACATTGTACACATTGCTGATGTGGTAAACCCTCAGTAATCTGGCTGACACTGGCTCGCTGGCATCGTCATGGCCATGGGTAGTGTGGCTGGAGTAGAAGACCGCCTTGGTGCTCCTTGTTCAGAAGATTGTTTCCTTTTTGAACTCCAGGGCTTGGTCTTCCATTTGGCACTTGCTAGAAATGATATTTGCACACTTTAATGAAAATACTAATACTTGGTTTCAAAAAATACTATGGTATCCTTTCAGGCCTTTCTAAAAACTGGACCTGCTCTTTTGATAAGTTTTGGTTTTGTTTTGTTTTTTTTTTGAGAGGGAGATGGGGAGAGGGGGAGGGAAAGGGGAGAGAGAGAGTGTGAGCAGTGGGGGCAGGGGTATGGGCCAGAGGGAGAGAGAGAATCCCAAGCAGCTCTACACCCAGCACAATGAAAGTTTACATCCACTTCTGCAATAATGCAGAATGCACTAAGACGGAACAGCAAGGCAGAACTATATGTTCTGAAGAGAAAGGGTTCATAAGACTAGTCAAGGAACATCTGGGTGGCTCAGTCAGTTAGGCGTCTGACTCTTGATTTCGGCTGGAGTCATGGTCTCGGGGTTGTGGGATTGAGCTGATGTAGCTTTTCATTGCTCTGTATTGTTAGCATGTTTCTTAAGGGCTATGAGAAACGTCTCACAATTTTTTGTGTGCGTAACCATGCATGGCTATGTCTGTAGGAGAGAATCCTAGAAAGAGATTCTGAATCAATTTATGTG